CCCCGCCCGGGGGGGGGGGCCCCGGGGGCCCCCCCCCCCCCTGCCTGTCCCCCTGCCCAGCCCCCAGGGCCACCCCCCACCCTGCCCAGGACCCCATCGCAGCACCCCAGGGCTGTCAGCCCCTGCCCCAGTGGTGCCACAGCAGGGCTGATCTCCAGCTCTCACAGCCCTGCCCTACCCGGCCATGAGCCACACCGAGCCAGGCCCACAGGGCCCAGCCTCAGCCCATCCCCACAGCGCTGCCATCACTGATCCTCACCCTAACCTGTAAGATGGGATTCCCATCTTGATTGGCCTCATCACCATGATGAGCCTTATAGTCAGGGCTTGTGGCTGGGCCTAGCCACCATCCCCAGGCCTGCCCCATTCCCCACATTGGGTGCTGTAGGATGGGTCCAGCGGTGCCCTGCCGGCCATGCCCCTCAGGAAGCCGCTAGCCCTCACTGTCTTATGTCAGCTCAGGCTGAGATGGGACTCCCAGCCGTGGGCAGAGGGTTTGGGGGGGGGCCTCTTGGTGCCTCAGGGCCCTCTAAAGATAGTAAAAGCAGAGGTAAGAAAATCTAGGACTCGTGGAAATCCCAGCAGATCTAGGCTGCTTTTCCTTGCAGGTATTTGTGCACTGAGAGGGAAGGAGCCCAGCTGGAAGCTAGCAAGACCAGTGGCCGCCATTTGCTCAGCGCCATACCTCCACGTCAGGCACCAGCAGCACATGAGGAGGAAAGGGATGCGTGGTGTCATCTGGGGAAGCGGCAAGAGACATGCTGCTTCTTCTGCCTCATCACTCCTCATCACCTGCAGGTTTCTGCGAGTGCCGCTGGCCGGAGCGGCAGAAACGGGACGTGCTGATGCTGCGGAGGAGCGACCATCAGCTCTCGCGAGCACACTGAGCCAGAGTTGCTTGGAGCGCTGAAGTCAAGAGTTAACGACGCTGAAACTCACAGGAATAAAACTTGCTAGGCCTAATGGATCTTCTCTTCCCCACTGCATACTGGGTAGAGCCACAGTGTGAGCTTTTGATGCTAGCGCTGAGGGAGAGGCAGTACTTCATCCTGCACCGTGTAAACTTGGAGTCTGCCCACAGTTTCTGTGCTCATATCCACCATGGTGACTAAAACAAGGTCGCCTGGTATGGCAAAAGGGTACTGTGGCTCCAGCCATATGGGCAGAGATCAGCTAAAAGCTTACACTATCAGCTGAAATAATATGAATTTCAGCTTCGAAGATAGTGCACGTTTTGCTGTCTAGGTTGTAGTATTGTCTGCTGGCTCAAGTAGAAAATAGCTATGGAGTTGTATCCATATCCAAGGCAGGCCTCTCCCACTCCCCCTCTCACTCCTTTCTTAGGAAAATGGTGCATCAGTGATATTTGTACCTGCCATGCTGCTTTGCATGTGCACGTCAGTCCCATCACTGAGAGAAACAGCAGGCAGGTGCATTTGCTGAATGTGATTTGCCTGGTCCGTATGTGAAATGTTAGCCTGTGCTCAAAGGCTGTCACCTTTATTATGTGGGTTATGGAAACAGGATTGGAGCAAGGCCTGTGGGAAAACTAGGGGCTCAGCTGGTTGAGACGTTAAGTCATTAATACTCTGCCTTGGTCACTATCACTGTACATGGGATCCTCTCTCCAGTCATCCTGATGCTTGCTTTGGAAGAAAACATTCTCCTGGAGCCAAGAGTACCTAAGGAAAAAGATGGCCTGGGGCATTAGGGCCTCACAGCATCACTGTGAAGGATATCTGGGCTAAGATAACAAATTGTGCTAAAGACTGATGTTTTCACTTCTGTGAAACAGTCATGTCCGACATGGAAGAAACACTGATTAAACCAGAAATAAGACTACTGAAGGGAGAAACTCCAGCTCATTCCTGTCCCTCAGTCTCGGATAACCACTACCCCAGGATGAGCCAGAGTGTGACTAGAGAGCTCGTTGCTGGCAGGGCACTTGCAGGACTGACCCAGGCAGAGCACGGCTGACCACGAACAGCAGCTGCCCCAGCTCACGCTGCCAGTCTTTAGGAGGATGTTGCAAATCCCATGGTATTTGTGTTCCTGGAAGCTGGCGTGCCTCCCAAAGCGCTGCTCATGCCTGAGTATACGTGTGTTACAGTAATTAGTTAATATT